CCCAAGAATTATTGGAGTGTTTTTCAAGGAATTGGATTTTTAAGTTATCATTGTTAGTTTTCTCCTTTTATTCAACAAATACTCAGGCAGCATTCCCTCTGTGTCGGGAACCATAGCAGCTGCCGGAATAGTAGAGGGAATACAGCCCGCACAGCCACTGCCTCATGGGCTGGGTCGTCAGTCCAGTGAGACACAGATGGAGCCACACAATCACAATCACAATGAATATTATGGAAGAACATCTCAGGGTGCCCCACAACTTCTAAACTTTACTACAAGTGAGGTGGCTTGTTGTACTTAGTGAACTTCCCCTCACGCTTATTTCCTTACCTCTTTTCCTGAACGTGAATTGCTTTTAGTATCTCTTTGACTCAGGTAGGCGGACAATTTATTTTCTTTTGCGTATACCTAATGGTTTCTTCCTGGGGCTTCCTATAAACTCTAAAATCTCAAGGACCCTCAATTCATATGAGGTGTTTAGATTATGCCTGTACTTGTCATAAAACTTTAAAACATATATAAGAAATGCTGTTATTTTTTGAATGAACAAACTATATTTTAAAAATTAAATCTTAAAAGAATTTTTTGGCATAATACATGCACGTTAATTTTAAAAACCACTAAGTACTGAAAGGCTTACTGAAACAAGAGCACCCATCTCTCCGTACTCCATTCATTCCCCAGAGGCAACCCTTAGCTGTTAGCTGGTTCTGCTGGTAGTTTATGCCACATTCCCACCAATGTGCTTTTGCTGTAGTTTCTTGATCCATTTACTTTTGACAGTATTGGGTGACTTCTTTGTATGATAGATGCTGGTTTAGTGTTCCTCATCTTCCCTCATTCTTCACACTCATGTTACCACAGTTAAGTCACTTGTTAAATGAGTACTTAGTGTTTTAATTATTAGGGATGTGTAAATACGGTTCTCTGTAGTCAAGTAGTAAACTATTAAGGACATGTCCTTTCTGGAATACTTTTTTGTTTCCCTAGAATTCTAACTCCCTTTAAAAAAAACCTTACCCTAGCTTCCTGCTATCTACCAGATATTATACACACACAAACACACACACACACACACACACACACACACACACACACGACTCTTGAACAATGCAGGTTTGAATTGGACAGGCCACATATATGCAAATTTTAAAAAATTGACCCACCCCGTTCAATTGACCTGTGAAGTGCAAGCCTGCATTGTCCAAGGCTCAATTGTGTATGTATATATAATAGTTTATATATAATACATTATATTATAATATTATAGATTTTAATATCACATTTTAAATATATAATATTTTACTAAATTTTAATATATGTTAAATTTTTTAAAATTTATTTTTATTTTTTAAAAATATATTTTATTGACTTTCCACAGAGAGGAAGGGAGAGAGATAGAGAGCCAGAAACATCGATGGGAGAGAAACATTGAACAGCTGCCTCCTGCACATCTCCCACTAGGGATGTGCCCGCAACCAACGCACATGCCCTTGACCGGAATCGAACCTGGGACCCCTCAGTCCACAGGCCGACGCTCCATCCACTGAGCCAAACCGGCCTTGGCTAAAATTTATTTTTATTATATATAATAAATATATCTTTTTCTAACAAATGTGTGGTCCTATCAGGTTTTTATGGCACCTTCTCTTTCTCTGGACACATCTCCCATATGTGGACCAGTCGTTCTTAAGGCCTGCTGTTCATCTGTCATCCCAGCAACTCCCTTTACTGCTCCTGGATTGGACCCACTGTTTCCTATATCCTATGTCTTCCTGTAGTTGGTTTATTCCTTTATTTTGCTAGAGGAATTTCTTAAGTAGTTTTCAAATACATGATTGGGAAATAGATGTTCTGAGCTTTTCCATGTCTTCTATCATCCTATGCATTATTATTCAGAAGTCTGATGCGACCCTGACTTCCATTTGTGGGCACAGGATGGAGCAGATGAGTGAAGCTAACCAGATCCAGCCCTTCTGAATGTGTGTGAGTGTGAGTGTGGAGGGTGGGAGGTGGTGGAGAGTATGTATAGAGGCAAGGTCCACAGGGGGAGGTGTGCACTGGAGGAACTCGGCTTTCAATTTAGGAAGCATGCAAATGTGACTGCCTTGGTTGTCCCACTCTGCCAGAGAACCCCAGTTATTGACTTGAGAAATCTGCAGAGCAATTTTCAGGGACATCCTCCAGGGATCTAAGTTCATATTGGCCTGGTCATATCCATGTCAGGACACAGATGCCATGCTTTTCACCTCTGTGGTGCTATGCATAGAGGTACTCGACAGGCTGGGCAGATAGGATGAATGTGGAAGGGGACATGGGCAATTTCCCAGCTGGGTCCAGAGAGCCAGTGGTATGGGCATTGGGCATCAGCATGGATCAGCTGCAGTGAAGTGAGGGTAACACACAGGTTTGTTTGACTGCTGGATGAACATGGGTGATCGCCAGAGATTTCAGTGGGGTTCTAAGTTGCATTAATAAAGAAATGACCTCCTCATCAAGAGTATGAGGGGCCTGCCAAACTTTACAATGGGGGCAGTTCATAACTAGAGTCTCTTTCTGACCTGGGTGTATATTGTTCATTTAGTGAATTTCTCATCCTTAAATGTTTATTCCAAGTGCTTCTCTCCTTGGCACTTCTCTCACCCATAATTTACTTATTATTTGTCTAGGTTCTTGGTCTCTGTTTACTCACCGTGTTGCTATAATAGACATCTCTCTCCTCTGTGAATTGAGTTCCCCAAGGATACTCAGACTGTGATTATGAACCTGAAATAGAGGCAGTAGTATTGGCCCCATCTTTGTCACTTGGCTTTGTGAAGACCAGATGAGTTGTATGTTATGGTGCTTTACAAATAGCAAATGGGGGATGGTGTTATTTCCTGTCCATTTGTTAATGTGATGAATTACAGGCTCAAATTAGCAAGCCAGCTAAGCAGCCGCTGTCCCTAGCATCTGTGTAGCATCCCCGCCCTGACATGTCCTGGATTTCCCAATAGGAAAAAAACAACTTGCTATTTACTCTCTAACTTCTTCGGCACCGGGACCTTCCTTTAGCTTATTCTTTTACTGCTCCTCCTTGAAGTCCTTGCACTGTCACTGCTCAGCTGGGTCGTTGCACAGCTATGTCCTCTGTGGTTCCAGAGGCTGAGGATCAGGGAATTGGGTAGGACCTGCCCATGGCAACCCAAGCTCCCTGATGTGCCAGACATGGCCTGAGTCTCAGATTTGCAGACCCAGGTCTTGGGAACTGCCCTGCACGTGTACTAAAGAAACCTAAAGGGATTACTTCAGTTCCAAAGGCCTGCTTTTCCTGGTGCTGGATGTCCCCTGGTCCTGTTCCACTGCGCTCTGCTGTTTGATGGGCATTGAACACTGGCCTACCTCAGTCTGATGAATGTGGCAGGTCTGCTGGTCCAGGTCTTTGCACAGATCATTGGCGTCTCAACACCAACCTTGACCAAGGACACTCTAGGACTAAGTTCCCTCTCCATTTATACTCCTGGGCTCAGCCATTGATCGCAAATCCCAGAGGCACTGGGTCCTAGAAGCTAAACTTGAGGGAGCCATGTGCTGTGCCAAAGCCAGCCCTCTCAGTGACCTCCCTAAGACCCTCTTTTTAAGCCTGTTCTCTCAGTGTAGACTCCTCTCCTCAAAGCCATTTTATTCAAAGAGATGTATTGCCATTTGCTGTCACTACTCCTTGACCTGGGACATGCAGGATGAACAGGTTTCCATGCCTTCGTTCCAAAAGCATCCTATGCACATTGAACCACCCTTTCCCAGATGACTAGCTTTACACACCAGAGATCTGTCATAAAGGATCTCGCTTCTCTAATCTCTGGGCTGTGGATACCTGTTCCTCCTATATTTTCTCAACTAAGTCATTGCTTAGATGACTGCATATGGATAAAAAGCTTGGCTTCTTTTAATTAAAATACCATAACCAGTGTAAATATGACACAGACATAGACTATAGCAGCGGTTCTCAACCTGTGGGTCGCCAACCTGTGGGCCGCGACCCCTTTGGGGGTCGAACGACCCTTTCACAGGGGTCGCCTAAGACCATCGGAAAACACATATACAACAGTGCTTCTCAACCTTCCTAATGCCGCGACCCTTTAATACAGTTCCTCATGTTGTGGTGAGCCCCAACCATAGCAGTGGTTCTCAACCTTCCTCATGCCGCGACCCTTTAATACAGTTCCTCATGTTGTGGTGACCCCCAACCATAAACTTATTTTTGTTGCTACTTCATAACTGTAATTTTGCTACTGTTATGAATCGTAATGTAAATATCTGATATGCAGGATGTATTTTCATTGTTACAAATTGAACATAATTAAAGCATAGTGATTAATCACAAAAACAATATGTAATTATATATGTATTTTCCGATGGTCTTAGGCGATCCCTGTGAAAGGGTCATTCGACCCCCAAAGGGGTCTCGACCCACAGGTTGGCAACCCACAGGTTGAGAACTGCTGGACTATAGGGACTCTGGAGAGACAGCCTGGCTATGGCACAGCACACACAGGTGAATCGTGTGAAATTTCCTGGGGCCTTCAGCAATGGCAGAGATGTTGAGGAGAGAGCCAGTAGCTGTGGACTCAGGGAAAGAGGCTGATGTAGCTATGCATTACTCTGGGACATGGAACAATTTGCTTTACTCTCTGGGCTCCTTGCTGTTGTAGGGTCTGTACATCTGGAGGCAAGTGCTGTGCGGGGGGCTCTGGCATCATGTAGAACAGTGTTCCAGGTAGCTTCAGAGGCTTTCTTCCAAGTGTGAGAGCCTACGAAAAGTGACTGACCGAGGCCATGGAACGTTCCATCTCGGCACAAAGCTGCCTCTTAAACCCTTTAGTTGTGCTTCGGATTCAGAACAGCACAGACACGCCATTCGGATGTTTCCTTTTAGTCTTTGCCCACAGTTGTCCTTTCTCTTTAGCTTCTTCCAGTTTATTTCTCTTCTTTCTCATACCTATGTGTTCTTCTCACTCCAGCTTTTGAATCGAAAAGACAAGACCACCTTTGAGAAATTGGACTACCTGATGTCTAAAGAAGATAATTACAAGCGGACTCGGGAATACATCCGAAGCCTGAAGATGGTTCCCAGTATTCCCTATCTAGGTAGGAATCCGAATCGGTTATTATTTATTAAGAAACCTCCTCAGTGCTAAATAAGATATTTTGTAGTTTCTAGTTGAGAATTTTCCAGGAAGCAGCATGGGCCATGGATAAAGAGGTAATTAATTGGTTTACTCCTTGGATTAAAATAGGTTGTTGATACTTTCCAAGGATGGGAACCTTGATGAGAGCCTTGACATAGGGATATTCTGCTTCTCACACAAGTGACCTGTGAATCCCAAGCCTCCCCAACCTGCAGCCCAGAAAGATCACAAGACTCTTACTGGTTCATCCACATCCTCCCAAACTGAGGGAACTCAGGACCAAACGCCTCTGTTTTGATTCTCTGGACATTATTAATGTGTGTGTGTGTGTGTGTGTGTGTGTGTGTGTGTGTGTGTGTAAGTCCTAACCCGAGGATATGTTATTGATTTTATTTATTTTTTAAATTGATTTTAGAGAGAGTGGAAGGGAGAAAGAGAGAGAGAAAAACATTGATGTGAGAGAGAAACATCGATTGGTTGCCTCCCCTATGCATCCCGACAGGAGATTGAACTAGCAACCTAGGTATGTGGTCTGATCCGGAATTGAACTGGCAACCTTTGGGTGCATGGGATGATGCTCTAACCCACTGAGCCACACCGGCCAGGCTGTGTACCAACAAAATTAAAATAATGATTATTGATTCTTCTGATTAGAAAATAATACACATTTATTGTAAAAAATTAAGAAGAAATTTACTATAATTTGTTATCCCACCTAGAGATAATCTTATTTTGCTTCATCTTTTCATTTATTTGGGTGCATTTAAAAAATTTATGTTTATACTATTGTGAACATTTAATAATATTACCTATATTTTTATACTGTGATTGAACCCCATTAAACTCTAATTTTATGAAAAAATATTTCTATCTTTTTATGATCTAAAAACAAGGGAAAATAAGGTTTTATAGAAGTGACCTCTAATATTTTCAGGGATCTAATGCAGTTTGTTGGACAGATATTTTTGACAACTTCAAATTTTCTTCCATGAGCATTGTTAATTTAGATTTTCTAATTCTCTTAAAGCCAATTTGGAAAATTTAATTTTAGTAGAAAGTTGTCCATTTGATCCAAGTTCTAAAAATGATTAGCATAGAATTTTTTCCTCATTTAGTTTTTTTGACCATAGAGTTTTATATGGTATTCTCTTAAAAAATTTAACCTCTGCGTGGTTATATTTGCTTTGTATTCCTAATAGTGTGCATTTTTCTTTCCTCTTTCTTTAACTTGCTTTTCCAGGGGTCTGTCTGTTGTCTTTCCCAAGATTTAGACTTGTATTTGTTTGTTGGGAACATTATCCTGCTTTCTGATTCACTGTGTTCCGTCAGCTTAGAGGTGCTTTCTCTCCACATTCTAATCCTCTGAAATTGGGATGCATCTTTCCATTGATGGTAACAGAGCATGTGGCATTGCTTAATTGGCAGCAGTTTTTCTTATACATAAAATAATGGTGCACCTTATAATAGATGACATCTTAAATTTGATGAAATATGGAATTTCTGCTTTTGTCTTTTATAACTCATTCCTCCTGTTTTTCTTAAATTTTTTTTCCTATTACTTGCCTCAGTTGAATTATTGGTTCATTTGTATATATACTATTCTTTCCACTTTAATTTGGAAAACAGTAAAGAGTATACATTTTCTTCTAATCACTGCTTTTGTTATATCCTACATGTTTTAACGTATCATGTTCTCACTGATATTGTTTAAATGTTCTGTAATTATGGTTTCAATTTTTCTTTTATCCAAGTATTACTTAAGGCAGTGTTTTTTAAATTTTCAAGGGTGTGGTTTTTTCAAGTGGCCTTACTGAGATGTAATTCATGTATTGTCTATGTAGAGTGTACAGTTCAATGGTTTTTAGTATTTTCACAGAGTTGTGCAGCCATTAGTACAATTTAGGACATTTTTATCACCACAAAGAGAAACCCCATATCCATTATAGTCACTCCCTTTTTTTCTAGCCACCCTACTCTTCACTTACCCATCCTTAGCCCTAGGCAACCACTCATCTACTTTCTGTCTCCATAGATTTGCTTATTCTGGACAGTTCATATCATTTGAATCTACAGTTTGTGGTCTTTTATGACTGCCTTTATTCCCTGGGAGCATGGTCATACTGCATTCCTTCTTATTCCCAAACAATATTCCATTGTATGGATACACCTCATTTTATTTATCCATTTGATGGACATAGGGGTGGTTTCACTTCTTGGCTATTATGCATAATACTGCTATGAACAGGCTTGGTTTTTAAAAACACAGTCTTTCCTCTAACTTTTTTACATTAGTTTAGAATATGTAACATATATGCTTTCTAGGTTTTTAAAAATGTTTGAGATTTGTCTTGTGGGTTAATATAAGATCAGTTTTTGTAAATGTTTTCTGGGTGCTGGAAAAGAGGGTGTAATTTCTCAAATTGCTCTTGTAGTTACTCAATTATAATATTCAAATGAATAATTTTGACCACTTGGTCTCAGGACAGGAATATATGTTGGAATTCCCTTGCCCTGCATTATTGAATAAATAGAAGTTTGTTAAGTTGTAGATTTATTTCAAAGTGTCCCCTACAAAGTGATCTTGATTACATTTATTATTTGCTTTTACTTCTTTGAAATATGTAAGTCTGAAATGTTTTATTTTTCCTTTGCATTCATTTTATAAATCTTTGACTATATTTTGGATTTTAATGTTTTAAATTGCTTTGTCTTAGGAATGATCCTTGAAAATTGCATTTAGTTGGACCCCATATGCGAGACCTGGCCTTTTATTAGGGGAGTAAAAGTCCCACATTTGTTTAGTCTTAGTCATATTATTGGATTGAATATCATCCTATGCTTTCTCTTTCATGTTTTCTCATCCTTTCCTTATCTCCTCTCATGGCTGGCTGTAAACTGTGATGTTTTTCTACGTGGTGACTGGCAGATCCCCTCTCACATCCAGAGATAGAGAGCATGTTGATTGCATAGCTCCAAGCCCACTCCCACTTTGTTGGAGGCTAATCAATTGAGGGATGAGATTGATGGTATTGGGATGAGGGCAGCCTAGCACAGTCCACTGGTCCCATTAGCCAGTGCTCCAGGGTCATTAGGGATGGCCTCTTCTCTCTCATGAGAAAACACAGAGCTACCGGGGACTGTCTGCTTTCTCTGTGTCGGCCACTTCCCTAAGTTTTTAAATGCATAATTGCAGTGAATGCTCACAGTAGCCTAGTGAATAGGCAGGTGCTGAGAGGTTGCCTGAGGTCAAATACTGGAAAGTGGCAGAGCCAGGACTCTGCCCAGATGGTCTGGCTTGAAGCCCTGAGCTTTTAGCACTGCCCTCTCCTGACTCCCCACCTCTCCTCTCCAGGTCATTATTTTCCTCTCCTCCCTGGGGTTGCCACCTGTACGTCCTCTGCCATTTATGACTGTGGATGGCCTCCGTCGGGCGCTGTCTGAAGTGAGATGAACTGTGGGTCTCGCTGTTCTTGGGCCACAGAGTGGTGCTGCCTTGGGTTCCCAAGAGCATTAGTCCGTGGTCTCAGCCACGGGCAAACTGGACCAATACCATCTCCCCTTTCTGACCCATATCCCTTGTCACCTGACCAAGCATATGTGCCCCAGGTTCCCCCACTACAGACGAGTCCTGTCCTCAGGCCACTGGCCAGAGGCGTCCTGTGCGTCACCATGAAAGCTCTCGTTAGACTTGTAGCGCACAGGTGGCCTGTGCGGCCCTGAGGCCTCTCCATCACCTCATCTCAGCTGCTGCTTCATGGCAGGTGCTTCCCAAGAATTCCGAGTAGGCCCCATTCTCCTGCAAGGCCTCCTGCTTCCGCCTCTAAGCCAGCCAGCTTCCCTGCCTCCTGCGGTACCTTCAGCCTTACAATAATCTCCCTCTCCCCTTAGGCCAGTGGTCAGCAAACTGTGGCTCGTGAGCCACATGCGGCTCTTTGGCCCCTTGAGTGTGGCTCTTCCACAAAATACCGACTTCTGCGCATGGGGCACGAAGTTTTAATCGCACTGTACGTGCGCGCCCGCACGTGGTATTTTGTGGAAGAGCCACACTCAAGGGGCCAAAGAGCCGCATGTGGCTCGAGAGCCGCAGTTTGCCGACCACTGCCTTAGGCCAATTGCACTGCATTTCACATACCTCAGAAGACTCCTGACATACAGGAGTCATAGCTGCTGCAGCTTCATTGAAAAGAGTGAAGCAGGATCCCATTCTGAGTCTCAGTGGGGCCCTATATCCAGAGGGCAGCTCAGAGCCCTTCGTGCACATCTGATGGCCATGGACAGACGCTCCCCAAGTGCAGGTCATGGTTTCAGTACTGGATTCCTCTTGAAAACCCAATCTGTTCTGGGGATGAGTTTGTTTATCAAAAGAGGAGTCATTACATAATTCCTGGAAAGTGCAACATAGGAAAAAATTGTCTGAAACGGTTTTTCCCCCCTGGCAGAGTCCTCCCTGTAGGACTTTCCCAGGGGGAGAGGGAGTTATGCTTGGGGAGTGACTTTGGGTCAGTCCCTGGTATTTCCAGCTGCTTAGCTCCACGGCTTGAGGCTTTGAATGCCACCTAAGCAGCTATTTGCCTCTCGGAGCTGGTATGGGTTTTACTGGGATGATTCTCCTAACTTCTGTGGGTGTTCTGTGCTAACTGGTCTCCTGGGACTCTTCACCGTGTGTCTCTTTCTCTGTGGAAAGATGCCCTCACACTGGACTAGTAGCCCTCACCGTGTGGGTGTGTGTTCCAAGTCCTTTCAATGCAAATCTCCTGTACTGAGAGCTTTGGTACATTGAGTTCCTCATGAAATATAATTTAAAAAACACTGAGAGGAAAACTGCATTTAAAAATAAGACTCTCTTTGTATCAAAAACTTTCTTTTTAATTACTTCAAAGTATAAAAATACTGGTGGGAAATAGTCATACGGGTTATTTGCAGCTTAATTTTATCTGATGGCAACTTGTAAATGCCTAG